GCAACACATGTATTACTACACTGCAATGATTACCAAGAGCATTCAGATGTCAAAAAAGTGTATCCTCTATAACATCATCAAAGAATGTTACCTATATTTCTCAAGACAAATAAAGGTGTATGTTATCTTTGGAAAGTTTCTGTCTGTAGGAAGACTACCTATGAGCATACATGTATGTCCAAGAGTTCCCACACTGTTGACAGCAGTAACTTCTAAAACTGCTACAGCTGTACATTGCCTTATTTTCCAGCTACACGATTGGTGGACTGAACAGTTTGTTACATTAATAGATTCTGCAGTAGCAGTAGTGGCTGAAATGTATCTCTGGATACAAAATGGTAGCTGCACCATCATTACAGTATTCAGGAAGTAAGTTTTAATTTTTTTTCTGGTCAATTTGCCATTCAAGGTATAGTGAATCTAGCGTGTGTAGCACATATTCAGCGGGTAAGCTCACACCATCATCTTCTGTTTGCCAAAGCTCACAATCACAGTTGGCAAGGGAATATTTTCTTCACAGAAACACATCTTATTCAGTTGCACAACTCACTTCTTTTAGATCATCAAAGAGTACATTAAAAAAAATCAAATGCAGTTTCTTCTCAAGCCACGGTGGGCCTCAAGGCTATTCTATTCTAATACTTCTACTGCTTAATTAAGTGTTGATTCTTAATATACAGATTCCATTCGGGTGAAAATTGCACAACAATTTCCAGGAGAAAATTCCTAGGACAAAGCAATAAACCCATTGACATTATAATAGAGACCTGAAACATACATGTACATGTACACAACTCGTAAAATCACCTTTCCACGTTTTCCAGTATATAAACATTTATTTCTTATGCTACGAAAGAAATGTCAGAAGTACTATACTACTATAGTCTACACTATAATCTTCCTAAGGACAGGATTTTATTTGAAAGTGATTCTCAAACAAAAGACTTTTTTTTTTCCGTTACAGCTTTTATGTTTGACACATGTCAATCACATGAGGTTTGTCCAATCTGATTGGAAATGACTGTTGGCTTTTTCAGGACATAATGTTATTCTAAAATCTGATACTCAAAAGTGATGAACATGTGTCCAACATAAAAAAAAAATGGAAAAAGAGGCCTTCTACTGGAAAATTCAATACAGCTACAGCTACTAACTGTACTGTGCTATCCTATAAACAGGAAATACAATACCTAAACCAATTTCAATTACACATTGTAAAGCATTTAGCAATTAATGATCTTTTTTCATATTTACATCATCTCTAAGTGCCTATAAACACCTCAGTGATTTTGCTATTTTGAGATATAAACAATTATCATTAATCAAATGACAACTTGAACATGGTGCAAGGCCCTATGGAATAGGAGAAAGACTACATGTACTTGAAAAGGTCCTCTGCCTTTTAAGTCTGCATCAAATGGCACAAGTTTCCTTAAAAGCAGGCTCCGCCCCTGGGGCGTCGCCAAAAACTCTGCTATCCTTGAATGATTACAGCCTTTATTTCTACTCCTAACTACTCTGGAGGGTTTGTGGGAGTTGTGATGCCGAATGCTGGCGCGACTCGCTGGAAAAATTTCCTCAGGATGAAGCGTAACTCTGGTTTCAGCTCAAACACCAAGGTGTCACACAGAGCTGTGTAGTACCTCGCCGCATGCACACGGAACTATATAGGAGTGGACAAAAAACATTGTACATTAAGATGTTGAAATGTTGAATCAATAGCAAAGCCAAGTATAGAAACTGTAATAATATGATCATGATGGTCACAACAACAACTACCAAAATTATACCACAAGCAATGTGGTGGTTGTGTGGTGTATTAAATTGCAGAACATTGGGCTCAGAACCAGGAGGTCCCGGGTTCGAATCCTGCCGGGTCACCAACCTTGTGCCCTTGGGAGCGGCACCACTTTACATGACTTTCCTCACTTCACTCAGGTGAAAATGAACATGCCAGAAGGATCATTATCATGATCGTGGGCATAAAAGGAAAACCAGTTATTGTCTTTTCTAGTATGTTAGGTTCTTCTGAGATCTACATGTACCTACCCTGTCCTCGTCCATTTTGTTGAGCCTGGTGAGAAACAGGATGAGGAGGGATGTCCAGGCGTCCCTGTGACTATCTGATCCCAGCTGCAGGAAGTAGTCCAGTGCATCTCCACATACACTACAGGAGTTACAGATATACAACAAACATTTCAACATTTCTTACTGCAAGTATAAAATTCCCCTTTTGATTCAATACATAATCACAACTGTTACTAGTATACAATTATACAGGGTAATCACTGAGCAACATGTAAATAGACAATAAATAGACATTCAACAAAATACCCGGTACAGATTCTGAAATAAAAGATCATGCAACACCTGTCCTTTTTTGTGAAGTATTCCAGTGGTGAGACATACAGTCTGGAATCTTTTCTTCTCAGCATTTGTTTTTGTAAGGCATTAACATACAGTAACTGGTTTTGTATGTTTGGTACAAGCTGCATAATAGTACATAATAGTAATACCAGAATAAGTGTGGTGGGTTCTTGGGAATTTATGG